TATTGTCTTATTATTAATAATAACTTTTCTGTCAACAGCCAATAATAAATAAATGTCCTGTGATCGGAGAAGTCAATATTAAATGTTTGACATACCTTTCTTTAGTTCATAAGAGGAGTCTTTACAAAAATCTACTTGTGTTTGGCTCCTTAATTTGCTTTCCCTAACTAGAGCATCTGCTCTATTTAATACAGTCTGGTTTAATCCATTGAATTGTGTGGTGGACCCCGTGCTGGCTCCATGGCCGCTGTGCAGATGCCCAAAAGTCCCGTAGTTCGTGTAACCTGGGTAAAATGGTGATGTGTAGTAAATGGGTCTGGACAAGACTGTGCTGCTTGGAAAAGGGCAATGCGGGGATGATCGAGATGCTGAAGATTCGTTCGCTGCGATGACTCCGCTTTGACCCGTTCCCGTGGTCTGCGGTAGCTCGCTGTTACCCTTGCATCTGTCCGACGAAGTTGCTATCTCCGCGAGAGACCAAAGTTTAGGCTTAGGAGCAGATGGAGGCGAGTGAATCACAGACGTAACATTGCTGCCTCCGTTCAGTGTGCTGGATGCGTGCACCGTTTCGGGTGACTTCTCTTGCACAGCAATCGGTGTTCCTCGTGGCAAATTTGGAGAAGAGGTGGTTGGTTTCGGCGATAAGGCCAGAATTTCTGTCCGATGATCTTGCTCTCTTAATTCCGATTCAGTCAAAATGGGATCTGTCTCTTTCCCGGAATTCTCCTCTTTAAATCGATCACATGTAACTTCTCCCTGGTTTAATTTATGTTCTGCAGAAAAATAATAAAAAGTTACTGTAAACCTAGATAACGTTATATACGTACGCATTTCAGTAGGCCATAAGAGCTACGTTAAACAAAATAATGACATCATCATCAACAGCAACAGCAACAACAACAACAATATAATAATAATAATAATAATAATAATAATAATAATAATAAGCATAACCGAAATCACTTAAATTAAAAACACAATATGTAATTAATACAATTAAGACAGATTATGATTTTATTTATTTATTATTTCATGCAGTTCCTCTTCATAAATAATATACATCATTAACTCGCAATCGATTTACCAGCATGAGTCGAACGATCAAAAATTAAAAATGCATTAATTTAATACAAACCTAATTCCGTGTCTGTCAAGTCTTCCTTTCCGGTCGGCTTGTGTTCTTCATCGTCGTTTTTCTCTAAGTCAATGTTTTCATCCTCCTCTTCATCTTCACTCCTGTTCCTCGGGGTCCAAGTCATTTTGTTCTCCTTCTTTAGCCTTCTCCTGGCGTTGGCGAACCAGGTGGACACTTGTGTCAGGGTCATTTTGGTGATGATGGCCAGCATGATTTTCTCGCCCTTTGTAGGGTACGGGTTTTTACGGTGCTCGTTAAGCCAGGCCTTGAGGGTCGCAGTAGCATCCCGTGTAGCATTTTTGCGGTACGCAGGGTCCCCGTAGGGATATGAACCCAAGGGGGCTGCATAGGGGTGATATCCTAAAGACCCAGCCATTCCTGTCGCATGTTCGTATGGAGAGCCCTGAAATAACATTAGAAGGCAGACAGGAATAAAGAACTTTTCAAATAAAATACATAAGAAATAAGAATGACCCTGAAAATATAAATCAATACAAGTGTACATTAAAATTATTCATTAATATATTTTACAAACACAGGTACATTAGGCTACATGTACTCATGTTTTCAATAATATTATTATTATTAGTAATAATAATAATAATAATAATAATAACATAAATTATTGATTAGTGTATCGAACATACAGCCCAAGTGAAACTATATGTTGTGGCATTGATTAATCATAATTTGTCCTACACGGTTAACAGAGTGCTTTTATAGAATTAAAGTAAATGAAATGTTCGAGTAAGTGAACTATTTGCTCGCAAAACCCGTCAATTACTACATTATATGTGACCAACTACGTCATTGAATTCATGGAGGTTTTATTTTTTGATGAAATTAATTATCGATAAATTCCTTGTTAATCGTGCATTATTAATTAGTACTGGTTTATTCTAATATACATTTAAGGATTCTTAATAAGTAGTTTTTAATTTAGACTTATACATGTTTTAAATAATAATAATAATATTAATAATAATAATAATACATATAATACCGGCTTATTAAAAACTTAGATTATTAAAAACATAAGATTATTTAATTGGCAGAATTGACTTAACCGGTGATATAAGACAAAATATACAACACAGATATACTACAGCGATCACACTGCTAATGTAATCTTGCCGCGCTCTATTCCTAAAAAACAAACCAACTGACAATGCAGAGACTCATGTTTTTACCGCATTTACAATGTTGAGATTCATTTGGAATTTAACAAGAGAGATCATTTTGTTATTTTTTTTAGATTTTCCCTTGAACCTCAACAGGAAAGTCATTACGATTCTAGGAAAGTATCAAACAAACTTGGCGAAAACCACAGAACAATCACTCCCTCGTATAGAGGAACGTTTATGTAGGTTAGAAAAAGTTTTTTGCAGAGATTACTTCATGCACTGTTTATTCAACGTTTCTTTCGATTGCCTGCGAAGACACTTACAACATACGAAGTGAATGTTGATGCCGCCGGATCCGTGGTGTATTGGAGAGTGGAGTTAAAGCCAGGCGAGGGGCTCGTGAACGCTGTAGATCCAGCATATGGGGCAAAAGCAGACCCAGACGAAGATCTCCCAATTTCCTCGGTCCTTGGTCCCGATATCACGCTAGCGCTGTACGCTGGACACGAATACAGTGCCAGAGAGGCTGACGGCTGATACAAGTAGCCCTGAGGATACGCCATGGTAAAACAGAAAATAAGCCACTTATTTATGTATCCTTGCCTCTCTTCCTCTATTTGCGCATGTATTTTCTCATCTGAAATGAGAGAGTTGCACCGGCAGCCTGCCGTCTGTTCCTCTCTAGGTGCGTACAGTAAAAATAAATAAATAAAAAGGGTTTTAGCCGTAATATTTGATTGCTGTCAGCAGCAGCTGATCGTGTTTAGTTGTGCTCTCAGCGTTCTTTTTCGGTCTCACTCCCTTTCCCTCTTTCGCTCTCGTTCTCTCTCTCTCTCTCGCTCTCTCTCTCTCTCTCTCTCTCTCTCTCTCGCGCATGCATTGCTGGATAAGTTTCTTGCAGTCGAAAGGGCGGGGGACTTTGCTTTTGGAAAATGTCCTGCCAAGATGCTAAGTTGGAAATCGAGTATTCTGACGCCTACCATGTGCATCACGCCCCTCCTCTTGGAGTGTAGGCAGTGAAGGAAGAGGCAAGATCATGCTGCGCTACCACAGCTCAGCCTAATGATCGACCCATCCGCCTCTCTCTCCCTCCCCCATTCACTCTATCCCCGCACTCTCCCGCCTTCTTTTTGTCTTCCTATTCTTTTCTTCCACTAACAAGGCGCATTGCTGCTCAGCTCAAGTGCTTTAGCCCCTTGATGGCAATCTTGCGCAGACCAGTAGAGTAGATCAACTTTCTCCGTTTTATAGCGCATAACTTGAGGTCGTCACTTATACGTTTCATTGGAAATTAGCTTCTGATGTCTTTCATTTCTAGTAGTTTATGTCAAGCTTTGCATACATAGTGTTATTTTCTAAATGCGTTTGGCATGTTTCGTGGGTATTATATGACATATGTTAGATTTCCCGAGCAAGCTTTTTGAAAACTGAAAAGCACGTATAGAATAGCGGACTTTGGGTGTAGATGTTAGTATTGTTCTTAGGTCGTGGTGTCGCTTATATGTATATTTATCGGCCTATTATATTTACATTTATTGTTTATATGCAAGTGGAAGTCAAACACTATTTGCTAGTAAAACTCATTCATTATAATTCGAAATTAATGATCGTTATATAATATTACGAATACGACGATGAGAGGGATTAGTTGTACATTCTGATATGAAATTGAATGTTATTTATCAACAGTATACTCACTAAAGACCACGCTTCAGTACAACAAACGAATAAATTAATCACCATACATTATTATTATTATTATTATTATTATTATTATTAATAATAATAATAATAATAAATCTTAAGCATATCGGTAAATAAATTATTGCATGTCTTAATATACAGTTTACAGGGTAAAATACATTTGGTAAAAATCGCGATAACCTATATGTCTTGATTACATGCTTACTTATAAGTCGGACTTACGTTTTATGTTTGTTTACTTAGTACATTCTTATTTTATTCACTAATTTCTTGGAGTTGCACAGTTTTAATGGCGTATTTACTATTTTGAGCTTGAAATTTTAGGTAGTGTTGCCCATCGGTATAGTTCGTTGGTTGAGAATATAAATATATTCCAAAGCATCAGTGAAGAATCCGAGGTAACTGCCGGATGTCAATGTCTGACAAGTTGGAATCTCTGCTAGACCGAAAGGGATCGCTGTAGGCGCTGCTAAAAAGTGCATCTACTCGGTCACGTGTCATTCTGTTCTGTATGCCTCTTTTGAGTCTAGAATGAATGTGCGGGCGTCTGAGGGAATTAGAAAACGAAATGAAGACATGTAGCTCAAGAATGATGATGATAGGGATAATTATACATGGAGGGCTACTTATACCACAATAATAAATATTTGCATTTTTTTGTTAACAATAATAGACCCCATTGATAGTAATACTAAAATGCAATACTACTATAAATACCAATACAAATACCAGCGTAGTACGTGTGTTAATATCAACAAATCTACAATATAGATAAGTACAAAATATATATTTTATAAAATGCAGCATTATAAGGGAAAAGAAAATGTCAGAAAATCTAGAAAAAAATGTATGGAAAGGATATATCATTTTATCACAACAGTAAAGTCAGTTTTTTAATATTTCATGCTGTTTTGCGCAGAAACATATAAACTACAATTCCCTTGGTCCTAAAAAGTAGTTGGGCGTGGGCTTGTTTCGCAATCGACGCTGTGATTGGTTTATCTGAAAGTCGATCATTAAAACTTTGCATACCGGTCGTCAAGGATACCGGAAGAGGCTACAGCAGGCTGTTTTGAATAACGTTACAATTTACTAAAATTTGCTGACAATAATGACGTATCCTAGTCCTCTACAGTTTGGAGAAGATGCATTATTTCTGCGATAGAGCACAATGAGAATGAGAGCTCCCGTTTGGCCGTGGAGAATACAAAGAAGACTCATTGTCATACAGCTCAAGAAAATAAGGTAAGGTGTTACGGAGCAAGCTAACTAAAAACGAGCTTCTGTAACCGGAATCGAGCGCAAGTAGCCGGCTGTTGAAGGTAGGTATCTGCCGATTAAAAACGACTAGTTAAATTGCACGAAATGCTTGAACAAGTTACGCTACTCGTGAACATTGTGGCTGAACGGTCTTAGCGAAAGAGCCGCTAAATGTGTATGTGGTTGGACGAAATGCCCACTTAATATGTAGTTCATTGGAGATTATGCCGTTTTTCTAACTTGCTATGTGTTACTTTGCTCATATTATTAGGTAATTAAATTCCAATTTAGATGGTTAGTATAGCTGAATGCAAGTATACGTTTATGTTAATTTTGGAAAGAACATTCTATGGAGGGACAGTGTGCATCAAAATTTTAAATTAGGGGAGCATATGTGTTTAATAATGAATTAGTTTATAATTTTTTGACACCTGAAAAATGTCGGTAGTAGTACTTTTGGTGCATTTACGCCCATCTTGGTAGAACAGACGTTAGATTTTAGGTTTCCTCTGAGCGCCCACGGTCCGGCGTCCACTCAGCAGCGGCTATCCGGCCCGCACTAGATTTGAAATTACGGTACGGTGGAGGCGCGAGGCGGCTTCTTAACCAATGGAGAGCCAGAGCGGCTCGGCGCGTAGCTTACTGTACTGATGCCGTCTCCGCTTTCGCCACGCGCTTATTTCTAAAGGGCTTGCTGTTAATAAAATAATCATTAGGTAAAAATGTAATTATTGTCGATCGGCACCCCCCCCCCAAAAAAAAATCAAATGGTTAAATAAATTTAAGACAGACGATAGGCTGTTGCTCGTTTGTTTTTCCTGGTGTCACCAAGTGTAATTATACGATTAAATAACTTTAATCTGTGTTTTGATACAAATAACATGTCAGTCAATTTTCAGATATATTAGCCACTTTAATAATTTCCTTTCATATATCGTCTTAATGATATGCCATGCTCTGCTCTTTCCTTTTTAGGATATTTAAAATGGCAGTTATGAAAATGTCCCAGGTATAGACTACTATTGTAGAGATCTTAAAATAGGGTTAAAAACAAGTACTAATGCATACATAACTGATAAATAGTTCACTTAATCTGTCGTTGTTTTCTGAAAATATTGATTGTCAAACCACATCATTATGATCCATGTTTGTTTTAGTCGAACATAATTAATTCAGTGTTGATTATCTTCGAGTGAAATTGTGTACAGCTTGACCTATGACGATGAGATTTAGTTGGTGCTTTTTGGCATATTTCTAATATATAGTTTTTTTTTGGTATAATAACACAGTTCCAGTAATGTTCAGTTATTTTAGGATTATGTAATAATCCATAGATTCTGAATAGTTAACTGAAAAATTGATTTAGAACAAAAGCCAACATACACAGTAGTCCTACATGACCATTTTGATAACCAATGTCTTAAAATATTTAGGCTACATGAGTGACATGTTATTACCTGAATTACAAACTCACTTAAATTCCACCTAGAATTTAGATATATAGAAGCAATGCTTGGTAATTTACAGTATCTATAAACTTGTATTCATGACAATTTCTGTTTTGCTGTGTGCACTATATTTGTACAAAATTTAGTTTCATATAAACTCCATATGGAATAAAAAACAAACAATTTATAGGCTTTGCTTATTGTTGCACTCAGAAAAAGATAACATTACGATACGCGTTTCTTGGGATCTATAGATATACTGCATCACGCGTGAAAAAGTTGATATCGTAAGAATTTGCAAAGAAAGAGACAAATCTGTTCGTTAAAATGTTGCAAATACAGATAACTTCATTTCAATTATTGTTTGAACCACTTGTCTTGTTCTAAAAATCGAGTTGCCTTATATCCAGCATAATCTGACTTGGCATAACCTAATCATCATTTAGTATTGCACCATAAAGGATGCCAACAGATTGCTTCCCTACATTATTTAGCTGTCCGTGGGTGTACTTAAAGGTTTTTGATTGATTATACTGTCAGGCCAATAAAAGACAACGCAGGTGTTTGTAATTATATTAATTAAGATACTGGGGAAATGTCTCTGTTACTGGGTGATATGCTAGCTGATGTATTAAGAGATAATTTATTTTGACAGAGACTGCTCCCAAAGCTTGCTCAGTAATAAATACAAACAATGCACTTTAAAGTTTAAACGAGATGACAGCTTGGATCAGGGGTTAATCATTTCGGAAATCTTATTGCATCGATACATATTTTAAAGATCTGTGTCATCATATACAAGACGTTTTATTGTGTACGGGCGTGTTGCGATAAATGTACATTAAACTATAGGCTACTACGGGAAACATAAGTCGACTGGTAAAGCTGATTATATATGGAAAATATAAGCAATTTACCATACAGAAAATTCTACGTATTGTTTGTAGAATTTAGTCCACATGTTGAATTATCGAGTAACAAAATTAAATGACAATCTATAGGCCTATTCCTTGTCAAATGTATAATACGCCAAACATCAGGTGCATCCTGAACCATTGTTATTAATGTAAACATCCTTTTTTTTTAGTAGTGGTGTGATAGGTCGTTTAGGGATGACAGTGAGGGACCGTTAAAGATTGTGGCGGCACGGGACTGCAAAAATCAATTTAGATTTTGTTTATATATCTCCACGTATTTGTCTTTGCAAACATTTTAAGTCTATTATAGGTTGCATCTGTGTTCGCCAATATGGATTTTATAATAATATTTAACTTGCAACTTTAATTTTAACTATGATATGATGAAGATTGGCAGATGACACATGACATATTAAAGCTGAAGGATATGTTTTGTAATCCTTAAAAAAAATTCAGTTATGGTGTGGTAACTGGGTCTTTGTACAATTCAGTCAGTTTGTAAAATCATTGTTTTTTGAACTGGGTCTACAGAATCTAAACGTTACACCTTTCTGTATATTTAATTAGAATGGACGGCGAGGTTTCTTTAAAAATGACACCGGAATTAACATGGTTTTATTGCTGGAGTATAACTCGGTGGATTGTACAAATAAGCCATCAAGGGAAACGGTGTGTAACTTTACACACCGAAGGTTTTTATCGGCTATTTTAATCCGTTTGTTTTTATTTTAGATTCTAGATCTTTTTTATTCTAGTTTGCATTCAAAAATCACTGGTATGGTGTGAAGTTTACCGTAACATTTAAACAATACGGCGGTTTCTGTTTTGTGTGATGGTAATAGGCGTAACGAAACCTGCTGTTTTTAAAAAAGTTAAATATAGCACTCCTCTGTCCTGACAGCGACTGATGGTTAAAATGTGTAAAATTCGAAATAGGTTATACACACTTTCCCCTAAATGCATATAGACATGTCTCTCATTTGAATAAAACAAATGTCTGGTCATACGTTGATTTTTTTAATAAATAGTGCCAGCTCCAGGATATTTGTTCAGGGTTCAAATGTAAACATGCGATTGAAAGAGTATAAGCGTTACAGATTTTGGGCCATACTGGCTTTTTCTTTTTTGTATACGAGTGCATTGTGATTTGTCGCCCCCTTTGGCGGACAATAGAATCTTTCTTTTAGCAGGTGTTAACAGGAAATACTTACACTCTTGGCACTGAAAATATTGATAATTACATAGTTATGTCTACTGCCAGTTAAAAATGTGTCAGCCTTTCGATTTAGTTTCATAGATACGTTGGTATTTTTAATGTAATATAATCAGCTTTTTATCAAAGAATTTTTTTCGAGAACTGGTCTTATTCCTTACTGTGGTAAGTGCCACTGTGTAATAAATAGAAAATTACTATAAACCTGCAGGGTTCAGAGGAGAAATTTTATCTACTTTTTGTATCAGGACTGTAGTGTTTTCACCTATAAACATCAGTGTCACATCTTGATTTGTACTACATTGAACTGAAGTTTGTAATACCAGCAAAACTTTAATTCATAATGAGACTTGATAGAGTGTTTAGGGTTTTGAAGATTACACAAAAACTCTGTTCATACATAATGTGGATTGTAGTAGTAGAATACCAACTTGAATAAGATATATGCTGGGAAGTTATAATTAAAAAGGTTACCTTTTATTTTGCCATTAAAAGATGAGAAAGTATCAAAGAAAATATTAAGGCAAATTTACCTGTGTAAACTGTATGTTTATTATTTTTGTGGTGACCCTATCCATGATGCTCAATGCAGTATCCCTATCCTCTACATCTCTACTGCTGTGGTTTCCAACTCTGCAGTGGAGATGGTGAGCCCAAAGGTGATGACTACATTATGGATTGAAAGATTTAAAGGATTACTGTTCAGAATTTCATTGATGAGTTTGTGACAGAACATTTTTTGTGACAGAGCTGGAAACAGTGCCTGGCTTTATTTTAGTGATTTTAACAAAACAGCAAACTTTTAGTGGTAGAAATAATAATTTGCTGCTGCTTGACAAGACAAATCACTAGCTATGAACACTGCAAATAAACAGCGTACTTTATTATTTTTCTTTTACTTTGTTTTATTTTCTGATTTATTGATTTATCTGGTTTATTGGAAAATCATGGATAAATGGTACACCTTTTTCCCAGTTACAGACAATAGAGATGCAAATAGTGCTTTGAGCCAATGGTTTTATAACTGTGACAACTGACCATATATATCAGAATTTTAAAGCATTTTAATACATACATTCATTAAAATTAATTAGTTTAATTTTGCATTTATTTTCATATTGGAAGGGTTACAAGTTGGGGAAGTTTAAGAGCCCCAGTATCAAGGTGTGTATCTGTTCAGTCTTAGAATGTGTCTGACAGGGAGATTCATTATGGGAACACTGGCTATAGGAATACGTGCAGAATTTATCATCACCTGCATCCCAGCTCCAAAAATCCTCTGCAGCACACCCAGGGCGTAGGTGGAAGATCTGTTTCCTATCTGTCCATTGACTTTGTTGGAAGGCAACAAATGGCACAAATCTGAAGACAAACATATTTAGATAAAAGTTGAAAATAGTGTCTCAG